ACAAAATACTTTAAAAATTGAGTTATTTGTTTTTTCAAGAAATGCTTTCAGCAAATTAATATAAAAAAGGAAGCTTGTGATTTTGCACTGCCTGTGCAACTTTATTGCGGCCACAGGCATATGATGTCTGCAGCCAGTGCAGGGAGAACCGAGAAAATAAACATAGGATATTGGTATTGGGTTGAATTAGGCCACAACTTTATTAATTACAGGTAAGAGTAGTTTTGGCTAAGTCACTGAGCGTGTATCCAGCATTAGGCAGCCCACTTGCTGCCCAATAGATAGGAACCCAGTGGGGTTGACCCTGTGCTGGCGAGATGCCCCTGACATGGATTGGGGCCCATGACCTCACACAGGGCACCACTGGGAGAGGTGTTTTGGCCCTTCAGTCCCTGTGTGGACAGAGTCACTCCTCCTGGACTCCTTTAATAGAATACCCACATGACTAAGTATCCAGCCCAATGCCTTATCTGCCGAAGTTGTGAGAGTTGCTATGAAGTAGGCAAAAACCTGCAAGCTGCCAATTTGCTTGCAGGAGCAAATTCCTCACTGGTTTCAAATACAGCACCAATGTAAACCATAACAAGGTCCTTACGCCAACCTAAATAGCTTGGCTCCAGTTCCCATGAATGGAATCCTGCTTACTCCAACTGGAAAAAGTGGGCGGTCATATTTGCTGGCTCCTCCTTTCCCCTGCAGCCCCCTGTGCCCCCTGAAAATCAGCTCCAGAAGGTTACAGGATTCCCCAGAACACTACGGGAGGTGGCCCAAAAGGCTGCAGGGAGAACCACCTTCCTCACTGTTTCTTCAGCAGAAGTCTCCATTGGACTGCAGATATTTCTGTAAACATAAGCAAGCTTTCTGTTTACGGAAATGCAGCTCTGGATCCAGCCCAATGTTATCTATAGTCTTAAAATATGTTAATGAACCAAGTGTATATTCATAGTAATATCACTTTTAATTTAATCATTGCATATTGCATTTCATATTTGTTTCCAACAGAAAGAAAAAAGGAAAAGAAAGGTGAAATAGTGCTGAAAGATTACATCAGGCATAGGCAAACTCGGCCCTCTAGACGTTTTGGGACTACAATTCCCATCATCCCTAGCTAACAGGACCAGTGGTCAGGGATGATGGGAATTGTAGTCTCAAAACATCTGGAGGGCCGAGTTTGCCTATGCCTGAATTACATAATACTTGTTTGTTAACTGGACAGTCATTCCCATCAACTGCCAAAACCTTAGTCAGCAAAAGGCTACTGGTACAGTTTAAATAAATGGATACATTTCAATCTCATATTCAAATGTGCACTGATTTAAAGTAAATTCAGTTTGATAATATGAAATGTTATAGTCAAAAACAATCCCTACAAAAAAAGAATTTTACAATGCGGTAGGAGGCTCTCTGTAGGACAGGAAACAAAAGAATTGAAAACTTTTGCTACATAGTCTGCTGACATACAAAGATAGTCACATTTCGATTCTCTCTCTCTCTCTCTCTTTTTTTTTACACTGTCCTACTCATATTTTTCCAAAGTAAGGGTCTTGCCTACTGACTCTGAAAGTAATATCTAATGCAATTTCGAAGTTCAGTTCACAAGCTAACATTCAATGAACCTGTCACCTCTTACAGATATTCATGCTCCTGTTATGGAAAGTATCATAATAAGTCTTAGGTAACTTAATTTGATTTAACAGTGTCCTAGTGACTCAGCCTTACACCTTGAGGTTTATTTTTTTATTATTAAAAAATCTTACCAATTAGATTTGATTCCACAGCTTATATTTAATGCTTTGTGTGGGGAAAAGGTATTCTTTAGTGCCCAATTATATTTTAAATGTATTCTTTTGTGAGAATTTCTCATGCCTACAGCAGATTTTGCACTACTGAAAATAGCTAAGTTTTGTGTTGAGTACAATCAAGCTGAAGTCGCGCACTCTGATATCCCACTGAGAATTAAGCATGTACTTCACTGCTCACTGAAATCGACGGAACTAAAAAGTGCTTAGCTTTGGCTGGATTATGCTCATTGTGTTCTCAACTTAATCTTCAATTACTGTAGTTAGGGCTCTCATATGTTCACTTAAGATATCGTAGGATACGTGAACCTTGAAGAAAAGCATAAAGGTCTCAGAACAGCTGGAACTAATTTCTGACTAATGACAAGCTGGCACTTAAAACAAGGAAGAAACTTCAAAGGTTTGTGTATGCCAAACTCTGGAATATACACTGTACTGGAGATGAAATAATAGCTGCCAACACAGAATAAACTTAGGGGGGAAAGAATTGTTATAAAATGTACCTGAAGAGAATTATACTATAGATCAACAACTTCTGAACTGGGATGGCAAATATGGCCATACCCCATATTATTATTTTAATATTTTGTATAACATAATACAGTATGTAAATAGAAAATATTATTTACTACAAAATATCGCTTTTTAGTCTATTATCAGGCCTTTACCTAGAAACAAGTTTGTTTGTTACAGTGGTGCCCCGCAAGACGAATGCCTCGCAAGACGAAAAACTCGCTAGACGAAAGAGTTTTCCATTTTTTGAGTCGTTCCGCAAGACGAATTTCCCTATGGGCTTGCTTCGCAAGACGAAACGTCTTGCGAGTTCTTGCGAGTTTGTTTCCTTTTTCTTAAAGCCACTAAGCCGCTAAGCCGTTAATAGCCGCTAAGCCGTTAAGCCGTTAATAGCCGCTAAGCCACTAAGCCGCTAATAGCCGCTAAGCCGCTAATAGCCGTGCTTCGCAAGACGAAAAAACCGCAAGACGAAGAGACTCGCGGAACGGATTAATTTCATCTTGCGAGGCACCACTGTATTTCAAAGTTTGTGTGATAACTGAGAGTTTTCTCCCATGAATATGTTTTATTTAATGTTACTTGATTCATGGAATGAATTCTGGTTCCTAAAACAGGAAGGAAACACAGGCAGTTATGCCCAAAGATTGCAATCTCAAGATAACAAGCCACTTAAATAAAGTTCATCCATGCAGCTCATAATACTTTGATTCATTTGGGGGTTTGGTGAATCCTGATTCCACTATGGATTTGATCTGAAGTTGGACAGGAAGGAGGGCCTTCCCAGTGCCATCCTATAACCTGGACAAAAGAGAATGAAGAAAGGCCCTGAATGAGCCTTTTGAAGTACTGGGGTGACATACTGGGAGGAATTCAACGTCACACTAAGGTAACTGTTCTATTGGGGCAAGCATTTCAGCTCCTTCTCTCCCCACACCTGTTATTCTGGGGTTTCTCCCAACATCCACCCCTGAGCTATTCTGGGGTTACATGGAGTATGCATGGGGGGCAGGGACAGGGGAAAACTCCCTGATAGCGCTTGTTAGTTGAATTCAGTACAGAAGGCATTATTTGTAATAAAGTGCAAATAACATAGGAAATTTTGGTTATTCCATCCATATCCAACAATCAGTAAACCTAATAAGCTAGTCAAATGATGTTTAAGAATGAATAGGAACCATGTGAGAAGGGGGAATTTCAGAACTGCATGATTATAACAGGAAGTAAGTTGCTTGTCTGGTTTGCATGTTTGCAGGGGATATTCAGGTCTGCTTTTGACTGTAATTGTACATCATTTAGAAACAATGCATATTTTTTAAAAAAATATATATTTGAAGATACTCAGAAGAGGGCCCCTTAAGGAATGCAAAATTATATTAATGATGATGCCAGGCATCTTCAGGGATGCTCTGGGGCTGGCATTTGGCTTTGCAAGTTCCAGAAAAAGTAATACTGGGTAAGTGTGCTGCACCAGTATCCTTAATAACAAGCTAGTCAAGAACTACTTTGGTGGTCATGGTATGGAAGAACCACAGATATCCTATGGCAGTCTAGGCCACTCTTCAAAAATATTAAAGATTATTCCTGTGTGCCTTTCAGATGTTGACCCATCACTGCAATAAGAACTGGCATCAGGATAGTGATGTATTAATTAACTGGTAATTTATCAATACAGGTCATTGAACAAAGCTTTGTACTTAATTTTTCCAACTGTTCATCACACCATCTTCTTAAACTGGATTGAAAGCTTTATGCATGACTTTCAGTAGCATTTGCAACTTTTAATTTACATTTCTTCTCTCACACACATAAATAAATAATATCTTATAAATGCATTAGATTAACATGTGTTGAGTTTGGTATTTTGTTTTGTTTCACGGATGATTTAATTATCGCAATGAAATTACAGCACACCACACAACAGCCTGGAGGTGTAATTCATGAAGCTGAGATCTATCATTATGCTAAATCGCAAATGCATTACATTGTACATTTTTGCTATGGACTGTGTATATTCTGCAAAGAATGCACAAATCATATTCTCACGTAAACGGAACAGTATATTTTCACTTTTGTACATGAAGGTTCTTTTAATGATGTTTTATAATTATCAAGTAATATAATACATTTTAACAAACAAAGTCAAATGTAGATACTATGTCATGCCTCCTTTATACCAGATTATACACATATATGCAAAAATTTTCACATTTTGCAGACTTCAGTTTCTGATCCGAAAAATATAGCTCTGCACTCAGATATCCACATCTGTATTAAGGGCACACACAAAAACACAACAAGGAGGAAAACAGACTATATGCACCAAGCAAGAAATTCCCAATCTGGCCTGATTCATAAGGACCAGCAAACTGAAGGTCAACGAACAGACTAAATCATAAGACAGATAATCTATGTGTTGGGGAGTTTATCAGGCCTGGACAGGGTTTCACTCCCTTTGAAGGAATAGGTTAGGTTGGGGTTTGGCTCTTAGATGCATCTTTGTCTTTGAAGCGCCATGTAATCTGGAGGGCAAGGGACACATCTTTTCAGCTTATGTTAATATGTCAACTATGCTATTTTCTAGTTAGAGATAGATTGGTCACTATGATTCATGCATTGGTAACCTCATAATTAGACTATTGTGATGCACTTTATGTGGGACTTTCCTTGAGACTGTTTCAGAAACTGTAGCCAGTAGCTGTGGCCAGGTTGTTGAGTACAGCACATGCACTGAAGGACCTGCACTGACTACCAGCCAGCTACTAGCCATGTTCAAGGTTTGTTGCTAACATACAAAGTCAGTGCTTTTTGGGGATACGCAGGGGTATGCATACCCCTAAACATTTTTTGAATCTAAGTTTGGTCTCATTGAGGGGCAGTGTTTCAATATGAGTAGGAAAATGAGAGTACCCTTAAACATATTTTTTTAAAGGAAAGAAACATAAACAAATTGGGCCCAGCTTACCTGAAAGATCCTTTGTACCTACTTGGATCTTTAAGATCACTTAGATGAGTATCCTTCAACCTTTTCAGACCAGAGAACCACTGTTAACCCAAACATGCATTTGGGAGTCCATTTCTTAATTTATATCATACAATTGCATAGTGGTAGTACTGCTGTTGAAACCCATCTCAGATAAGAGCCACCAGCTGAAGACCAATGACTTAGATCAGGCAAAGCTTTAGACATGGCTTCACACCCTACAAAATATTTCAGAGTGGTAACCCCAAAACAGCCATTTTCTGCCATTGGCCTGTGGAATGCCCTTCCCTCTGCCATATGTGAAACAGAAACCATCAATTGCTTTGGATGTCTTCTAAATACATAATGTTGTATTGACCTAATGTGTCCTGTGTGCAAGAGCACTGCGCAAGGTCATCTGCTTGTGCAATGAGCTCCCTCACACTTTCCGTCCCCCCCAACCCCCCAAATTGGCTGAACCTCCAAAACAGCACATATGTGGTACACACTTTGCTTTTTAGAGTACAGGAAGCAACACAGCAGGCGTCATGAAGAGCTTACAAGCTACACTTTGATATAAAATACAACACAGTTTGAAAGCAATAGGCAAAGGCATACTAAAAGGTGACAAATATGCAGAAATGCAGATGCGAAGACTTATTTTCAGAAAGGCCAAGTATATCCCCTACCTCATAGGCATCAGCTTACATTCTGCCTCATGATTCTCTTGAAATTCTCTGCTTCACAATTACTACTTCTCAAATTCAAACTTTTTTCAAACACTTCGCAGTTTTACATTAACAGTGTGGTTTCTTGCTATCCAAGCACATGTAATCTCTCCCCCCACCCACCCCAATCCCTGATATATCTTAGGCTAATATTAAAATCACCCTTACTTCCTTGATCTTGCACACTGCCATGCAGGTCAACCACAGTATTTAAATATTAAAAGGCCTAAAACTAGAACGCACAGGAAATGGAATGAACATTTAATCCATAATTAATCTAAACTCTTTAAGCAATATTAATTCATTACTGGACAACTCTAGTAGATACCAGTATAATTCCCATCTTGCCATTTAATTTATTTAAAATATTTTTATATGGTCTTCCATACAAATCCCAATGAAGTTTACAACAACTTTGTAAGGTAGATCACTCATAATGGGCAGTATCCAATCAAGTACTGTATCTCTGCTAATGCAAGGACTTTCAGCTGTGCAATGGAACTTCCCTTCCCTATCCGCTCCCTGCATGGTCCCTGAATCTGTTCTGGAATTTCCCCAACTCTCTGAAGCAGATTTGGGGAATGCGTGGGGTGCACTGCAAGAGGAGAGGGAGGTCTTGTTCCATTGTTGTTGTTGTTTAGTTGTTTAGTCGTGTCCGACTCTTCGTGACCCCATGGACCAGAGCACGCCAGGCACTCCTGTCTTCCACTGCCTCCTGCAGTTTGGTCAAACTCATGTTAGTAGCTTCGAGAACACTATCCAAGCATCTCGTCCTCTGTCGTCCCCTTCTCCTTGTGCCCTCAATCTCTCCCAACATCAGGGTCTTTTCCAGGGGTCTTCTCTTCTCATGAGGTGGCCAAAGTATTGGAGCCTCAGCTTCAAGATCTGTCCTTCCAGTGAGCACTCAGGGCTGATTTCCTTAAGAATGGAGAGGTTTGATCTTCTTGCAGTCCATGGGACTCTCGTTCCATAGTGCAAGCAAAAAATTGTTGCACTACCAGAATCACTTTGTTGGATACTGCCCACTGACCTGAAGTGTTTAAATTAAGGAGAAGTCTTAATTTTTCTTAAATGAATGAAAAAAACCAACAAAAAAACCAACAAAACCAGTTCTTCTGCTTGTTATTAACCACAATTATAACCAAATACAGGAATACCAGCTGAAATTCCTGCTGTAAGTGGACAGTAAAGGTAAAGGTAAAGGATCCCTGACAGTTAAGTCCAGTCGCAAACAACTCTGGGGTTGCAGCGCTCATCTCGCTTTACTGGCCGAGAGAGCAGATGTTTGTCCGCAGACAGTTTTTCCAGGTCATGTGGCCAGCATGACTAAGCTGCTTCTGGCGAAACCTGAGCAGCGCATGCAAATGCCATTTACCTTCCTGCCAGAGCGGTCCCTATTTACCTACTTGCACTGGTGTGCTTTCGAACTGCTAGGTTGGAGCTGGGACCGAGCAACGGGAACTCACCCCATCACAGGGATTCGAACCGCCGACCTTCTGATCGGCAAGCCCAAGAAGCTCAGTGGTTTAGACCACAGCACCACCTGCATCTCTTAAGTGGACAGTACATCCACACAAACCATCACATGCCATTCTGGAGTGCCATCTAACCTTTAAGAATGGTGGGAAGGTAAAGGCCTAGAGAAGCAAATGAGGCCACGATATTCCACTTGCTATTTAGAGCTCAGGTTGACTGTAGTAAATAATTAAAGATGGCATGGAAAGGAATAAAGCGGAATAAGGGGGAATGAAAAAAGTTCTACTTTTCTGCCACACCATGACAGCTTGTGGTAGTTTATCAGGAATCAGCAGCATGCTAGTGTACACTGACCAATTACTCTTGCTTTGTTTCTCCCTTGGTACAAGCAGGATAAACAAACGAGGGACCCTTGGCTTCCCATTACATCCAATTAGAGGTCATGAGGTTGTTGTTTTTGCTGCCCAACAAGCTGCAATAATTAAGCCAACAACAAACCATAATCCTTGGTTTGGATGTAACCAGCTTTGCTGATTTGTTTATTCCACTCATACCAGGGGAAGAGTGAAGCAGGAGCAATTTGGCAGTATGCACTAGCACACTGTTTATTCCCAATAAACCACATCAGAAAGGCTGGTTCATTGTTATGTGTAGCCAATATGTTGTGGCAGTTAAGAGAGGTAGATCCTGACCAAAAAAAAATTGACGATTATGTCATTTTTAATAAATGCAGCCTGCTGCTGCACTGATCCAGAATGCCACAGCCTAAGTCCCAACAATTAACATTTATAATGGAGCAACCAAAAATGGGAAAAAGAGAAAAAAAGCCTAAAACCTGCTCTGCACCATTTGTGAGATACTAAATAAACAGCAGCCCACTGGGATTGTTGTTGATGATGTTCCAGTTTTAACAATCGTGCTGTATTTGCAAGGCCAAGCAGAGAGCAGAAACAGAAGATTAACCAAGCTCCTGGCGGGCTGCCATATAAAACGAATGGGGTCAAATTGTGGCAGTCTGTCCAGGACTCTACCGAGGTAACAGCTGCCTGCAAAACACATTCTGCCACAGTGAGAAGAAAACAGAATCATGTATGATTTGCCTCTGGGCAAGTTGATGGTTTACCTAACTTAACAGAGCATGCTACACCTTTGCCTATTGCATGCTGCTTCCACTTGCCAGAGTAGTGGTACCTTTACATCTCACTATTAGCAATGACATCTTAAAAGGCATCATGAGTACTATTCATAAATATGTTCCAGTTTCAGCTCCTGTTTTTAGTGCATCTCACACATTTACCTATTTAAATTCATTTTCTAGAGTATGAACAAAATAACCGAGACTTAAGTTAGATCATTAAATTAAGTAGAATGTTTTTCAGTGTGCAGTGCTTCCAAAATAAAATATATGAAGGATACAACTGATGCAAATAACAAGGCTAAAATTAACTCCAGTTTTATGTGCACTCATACTGATATAAATACAAATAGTACATTGTGTGTACTTTGTGCAAGTACAAATTTATTTATACAAATAGTGTAGCGAAACACATGCAAAACAATCAGATCAGAGATTCACTACAAGGAAGTGCTATTTTCTTGCAGTTACAATAATTGAATAGTCTGCAAATTAATAATAAAAAAACAGAATATGCTATACCATATCAGAATAAGCTGTGAATTAATAGGAAATAGAACTTTACACAGCTATGGGGGATTCTAATGTATGTTGCTTGGGAGGTTGTATATCTTGTCTGTTGAGGGATACACACACACACACGGCTGATAAATAAAAATACCTCCACAGTTAATCAGCACATTTACTTACACAGAAACGTGGTTCCATATCTTCTTATATTCATTAAGATCATATTGGAAAGAAGCCATAAAAACAGCCTGAGATATATAACTGGCACACAGCAAAACAAAACACCCCCCAAGGTTTAAAAAGTGTAGCATTAAACAAAAATATCAAATACAAGCATCTGACTTCAGTGTGGTTCTAACAGCATTAGCACAGTTTGTCCCCTGAAGCACCAAATGGCTTAACAGATGATAACTCGCTTGCCTTCTGGCCAAAGCATTTCACACAGCTATGTAAGTATTTCTGGCAAAGATAGCACTAACTCTCAGACTAGTTAGTAGATGAACATACATATGTCTGTAAGTTTGATTCAGTACATAAATGGTCAGAAATTAAACAATGCAATAATACCTCACAAGTAAAAACAAAAGCCAGACAACCAATTTTTGAGTCTCAGAAAGCCTGGAGAGGAGCCTGGGCAAATATGAAAGCTGAGGAAGGCTGTGACATTTCCAAATTACACAGCTAGATCTTTGAAATTTCAAATAAAATGCAATTTCATTTATTTATCACTAAGCACAGCAGCAAGATACTGTTCAGTCAATGTTTAAATCTCAAAATAAAAATCAAAAGCACTTTTGCTACCAAAATCAGATAAAAACACTCAATACAAAACATGGATGGATGCATGGATCCATACAGTGCATGGATGAAAGAAGGACTGAGGTACAGAACTTCACAAAAACAATAGCCAAATACCTTGCAAGCTATGTGAAATTCCCATAACCCATTCCAAAACACATTCACTTAAAATACGGCCCACAGCTTGAATATTGCTCATTTTCCCACATGTGTCCTGAATTAACTACCCTGGTTCTGCCCTTCTCCCCCTGCAGGGGCCTATTTCCAACACTGCAAAATGAAAGAGAGCTTAGGGACCCCAGGTTCATGACATCTATTATAATGAAAAATTGAATAAAAATGTTTTACAAAAAAAAGTTAATCAAATTTTAAACTGAATATGAAAAGAACGTTATAGCTAATAAAAAGAAGCATCAGAGGGTGACACCATCAAATTTATCCTTAACACATATAAAATGATGAGCATGCACAATTTACCCTGCATATCAATTTTGTTTAAAAAATATAGAAGAGCCATTCCGTTTGCCTTCACACAAATTCCTGTGTACTTGAAAACTTACTGTAAGAAGGTGATTCATCATTCCTCCTCAAGAATTATCCCATGATAATTAATGAATACCTAGTATGTCAGCCTAGATGCAGCAGAGCACAGAAAAGTACTCTCCAATCAACTTCCCCTTCCCCCAAGGGAAATATTTAGGTCTGTAATCACTAAAACTTCACACAGGCCCTTTTCATTCATTTCTTCCTGCATGGGCCTTTTATGCAGAATAACATCAACAACAAAACCAAAATGCAACAACATGCTGATTACTTTAAAGGGTAAATTTGGATACTGTTGTCAAGCAATGAGTTCCTTATCAGAAAAAAAAGATGTGCTGTGGTTCACACAAATTTGATATTAACAGAAAAATCATTAGAGGAAAACCACACATCCACATCAGTAAGGGGCTTCAAATTGATTCTTGTGTGAAATAAAGCTTGCAAACTCTGCATTGCATTCCATTACAAAGTGAAGGCTCTTCAAAATGTGGCTGACCTTTTCACAATAGCATTGATTCAGCTGGAGAGGCTGCAAAACCAAGAAGCAAATAAAGTTACCTAAAGGGTAACAGGTTAACGTAAGCTGCACAACATTGTGGCGAGCCTGACCTTCAGAATTTGAGGTATCATCAGTGCCCCCAAACCAAATAGAGGGGAGAATGCATTGCCACAGTAACAAGTAGTCTTACTCCAAATGACTGTAGACAGATTCCAATGGTTTTCAAAGGTTATCTAAAGAAGGATAGTCAGAAAAGGTGCAATCTTTAACATCTCCCTTAAGCTCACTTTTAAAATCACCAAAGTAACAAGGCCTGAAGGAGCACTGTGTGCTTTTCTTCATTTGTCTTGTTGGCAGATGGTGTTAGGAATGCATAAGGTAACTCCACATTTTTCACTGATGTTTTTACTTCCTTGAGTGCATAGTTCAAGGGCCTTAAGGGATTCTTTGGGTCTGTGCAACTGCAGACAAGGTGAAAGTTATCAACAATTTCTGAAAAAGCTGTAATACGTTTTTCCCCTTGGTTTAAGATATGGGGGGGGGAGAACTTGCTTTCTACACAGTTCCACATCTGCTTAAAACATCTGTGCAAGACAAAAACAAGTTTGAAAACTTCTTCTATTTCCACGCATTCTTTAGCATCCTTAGATACAGCATCAGACTCATTCTCCTTGACCATTTCACCCATAAAGTTGCATCCCATGACCAATTTTTCTAAATTTTAATTTAAACAGAAATTATTATATTCAATTTGAATGCCCCCTCCCACATTCACCAATGCTTTATATTGTTTCATTGGTAACATAAGAGGAAAAGTGACTGTTACTCATATTTAATCTAAGGACAACCACAGATTAGGCATTTGGCTAAGTTTAAGAAATTATTTCTACTGCTCAATGACTACACAGCAGCATGACTGAATATTCACCTGGTCATCACTTTTACACTAAAAGTTCTGGTGACAGATAATAATAATAATAATAATAATAATAATAATAATAATTTATTATTTATACCCCGCTCATCTGGCTGAGCTTCCCCAGCCACTCTGGGCGGCTTCCAATCAAGTGTTAAAAACAATACAGCATTAAATATTAAAAACTTCCCTAAACAGGGCTGCCTTCACAACTGAATGGCTTATTGCACTACTGCTGGATACAGCATAGTGAAATCATTCAAAGTTGTTACACTAAACAGAAAGAGCTGCAGATGTGGAATGGACATACTGAATATAACATGCTATGTTAAAGTCATGTTTTACTCACCACACCACTAATAACACCATCCACACCATTGCTGATAATAAGAGAATTGCAACTAGCCAACTTGCTCTGCACTGTGCAGATAGGATATGCCTGTAGTTTAAGACACTCTGTGCACTGTTGCCATTCATATCATTAGAACTGGGTTGTAAAACTATGTGATTTCTCAATATGTGAATTAAGAGACTACATTTACAAATGTTCAGGTTGTCCTTACATTTGCAGATGCAGTTGCATATTCATTACTTATACCCCTGTTTCAGCAATAAATACAATAAAGGCACCCAATTGCAATCTCTGTGTTAAAGCCTGGGGGGCAAAAATGACAAAGATGAATGAGACAGACACAGTAATCAAAATGAAGATATGAAGGGAAATTGGCAAATGCTTTGCATAGAGGGACTGTGATTGTGAAAAGAAAGAAAGAAAGAAAGAAAGAAAGAAAGAAAGAAAGAAAGAAAGAAAAGCTCATACTCGTATCTCAAAGCGTTATATCAAGGATTGAGAACATATGCATCTGCTATTTATGAAGCCCCCTTCATGGATCACTGCCTTGCCGTGGCGAAGGGGCTTGAAGAACTCAGAGAAGCTATGAACTATGCCAAGCAGGGCACCCAAGATGAACAGGTCATAGTGGAGAGTTTTGACCAAACGTGATCCACCTGGAGTAGGAACCGGCAAGCCACTCCAGTATCCCTGCCAAGAAAACTCCATGGACAAAGACAGGCATATAAAAGTTATGACGCTGGAAGATGAGCCCCTCAGGTCGGAAGGTGTCCAACATGCTACTGGGGAAGAGCGGAGGACAAGTACAAGTAGATCCAGAGCTGATGAAGCGGCTGGGCCAAAGCCGAAAGGACGCTCAGTTGTGGATATGCATGGAAGCGAAAGGAAAGTCCAATGCTGTAAAGAAAAATATTGCATAGGAACCTGGAATGTAAGAACTATGAACCTGGGTAAGTTGGATGTGGTCAAAAATGAGATGGCAAGAATAAATATTGACATCCTGGGCATCAGTGAGCTAAAATGGACGGGAATGGGCGAATTCAGTTCGGATGACTATCATATCTACTACTGTGGGCAAGAAACCCGTAAAAGAAATGGGGTGGCCCTCATAGTCAACAAAAGAGTGGCGAAAGCTGTACTGGGATGCAGTCTCAAAAATGATAGAATGATCTCGATACGAATCCAAGGCAGACCTTTTAACACCACAGTAATCCAAGTTTATGCACCAACTACTGGTGCTGAAGAAACTGAAATTGACCAGTTCTATGAAGACTTACAAGACCTTATAGAAGTGACACCAAAGAAGGATGTTCTTCTCATTATAGGGGATTGGAATGCTAAAGTAGGGAATCAAGAGATAAAAGGAACAACTGGCAAGTTTGGCCTTGGAGATCAAAACGAAGCAGGGCAAAGGCTAATAGAGTTCTGTCAAGAGAACAAGCTGGTCATCACAAACACGCTTTTCCAACAACACAAGAGACGACTCTACACATGGACATCACCAGATGGGCAACATCGAAATCAGATTGATTATATTCTCTGCAGCCAAAGATGGAGAAGCTCTATACAGTCAGCAAAAACAAGACCTGGAGCTGACTGTGGCTCAGATCATCAGCTTCTTATAGCAAAATTCAAGCTTAAACTGAAGAAAGTAGGAAAAACCACTGGACAGGTAAGATACAATCTAAACCAAATCCCTTATGAATACACAGTGGAAGTGAGGAACAGGTTTAAGGATTTAGATTTGCTGGACAGAGTGCCTGAAGAACTATGGGTGGAGGCTCGCAACATTATACAGGAGGCAGCAACTAAAACCATCCCAATGAAAAAGAAATGCAAGAAAGCAAAGTGGCTGTCCAACGAGGCCTTACAAATAGCGGGGGAGAGAAGGCAAGCAAAATGCGAGGGAGATAGTGAAAGATACAGGAAATTGAATGCAGATTTCCAAAGAATAGCAAGGAGAGACAAGAAAGCCTTCTTAAACGAGCAATGCAAAGAAATAGAGGAAAACAACAGAATGGGAAGAACCAGAGATCTGTTCAAGAAAATCGGAAATATGAAAGGAACATTTCGTACAAAGATTACCATAATAAAGGACAAAAGTGGTAAAGACCTAACTGAAGCAGAAGACATCAAGAAGAGGTGGCAAGAATACACAGAGGAATTATACCAGAAAGATATGGATGTCTCGTACACCCCAGGTAGTGTGGTTGCTGACCTTGAGCCAGACATCCTGGAGAGTGAAGTCAAATGGGCCTTAGAAAGCACTGCAAATAACAAGGCCAGTGGAAGTGATGGTATTCCAGCTGAACTGTTTAAAATTTTAAAAGATGATGCTGTTAAGGTGCTACACTCAATATGCCAGCAAGTTTGGAAAACTCAGCAGTGGCCAGAGGATTGGAGAAGATCAGTCTACATCCCAATCCCAAAGAAAGGCAGTGCCAAAGAATGCTCCAACTACCGCACAATTTCACTCATTTCACATGCTAGCAAGGTTATGCTTAAAATTCTACAAGGAAGGCTCAAGCAGTATGTGGACCGAGAACTCCCAGAAGTGCAAGCTGGATTTAGAAGAGGCAGAGGAACCAGAGACCAAATTGCAAACATGCGCTGGATTATGGAGAAAGCTAGAGAGTTCCAGAAAGACATCTACTTCTGCTTCATTGACTATGCAAAAGCCTTTGACTGTGTCGACCACAGCAAACTATGGCAAGTTCTTAAAGAAATGGGAGTGCCGGATCACCTCATCTGTCTCCTGAGAAATCTCTATGTGGGACAAGAAGCTACAGTTAGAACTGGATATGGAACAACTGATTGGTTTAAAATTGGGAAAGGAGTACGGCAAGGCTGTATATTGTCTCCTGCTTATTTAACTTATATGCAGAATTCATCATGCGAAAGGCTGGGCTGGATGAATCCCAAGCCGGAATTAAGATTGCCGGAAGAAATATCAACAACCTCAGATATGCAGATGACACAACCTTGATGGCAGAAAGTGAAGAGGAATTAAAGAACCTTTTAATGAGGGTGAAAGAGGAGAGCGCAAAATATGGTCTGAAGCTCAATATCAAAAAACTAAGATCATGGCCACTGGGCCCATCACCTCCTGGCAAATAGAAGGGGAAGAAATGGAGGCAGTGAGAGATTTTACTTTCTTGGGCTCCATGATCACTGCAGATGGTGACAGCAGTCACGAAATTAAAAGACGCCTGCTCCTTGGGAGAAAGGCGATGGCAAACCTAGACAACATCTTAAAAGCAGAGACATCACCTTGCCAACAAAGGTCCGTATAGTAAAAGCCATGGTTTTCCCAGTAGTGATGTATGGAAGTGAGAGCTGGACCATAAAGAAGGCTGATCGCCGAAGAATTGATGCTTTTGAATTATGGTGCTGGAGGAGACTCTTGAGAGTCCCATGGACTGCAAGAAGATCAAACGTATCCATTCTTAAGGAAATCAGCCCTGAGTGCTCACTGGAAGGACAGATCGTGAAGCTGAGGCTCCAATACTTTGGCCACCTCATGAGAAGAGAAGACTCCCTGGAAAAGACCCTGATGTTGGGAAAGATGGAGGGCACAAGGAGAAGGGGACGACAGAGAATGAGATGGTTGGATGGTGTTCTTGAAGCTACCAGCATGAGTTTGGCCAAACTGAGGGAGGCAGTGGAGGACAGAAGTGCCTGGCGTGCTCTGGTCCATGGGGTCACGAAGAGTCGGACACGACTAAACGACTAAACAACAACAACAATTTATGAAGCATTTTAATTGAAGACAATTGTAAAGCTCTTTAGAAAATCACATTTTCTTACCACCACTGAAGCGGAATGACCTTGAAAGTGCATTATAGGAACTGGGTAACACCCACAACAAAATTGCAAGAATTATTAGGTCAGAAAAGGAAGATGGCATTCCTGCCAACTAACCTTTCAGTCTGACAAGATGTAATTCTACACCTCTGGATATGTCTAAACATTGAAGATTAATGCCATCACATTTGTTTATCAGATTCTTTAAATGGGAACAAAATGCTGTTGTGCAAAAAAGAAAAAAGAAAGAAAAGGAAGGCCTGAAATAGGTATAAGGAGGCCAAAGTAGAAAATAAGCCAAAAAGAACCTGGTACAAAAGAGTTCTTTTTAAAATATCAATAGCTTAAAGAACATTCATAAAAATTACAAATCAAAGTATAAATGGGGTAATTGGAAATTTAAATGTGATAGTGATAGTTGGGTAGGCTCAGTACTTTTTTATTTTGTTTTTTTAAAAAGAGGTGCTGGTAGTCATATCTTGATAAAAGTATGACAGGCCAGCACAAAATGGCTGTCTTGTGTAGCAAAAACAGAAGTGGTGGTACTCTGTACCAGTGAGTACAATCACTAAAAGCACTGGGCAGACCCATATATCTTTCTTAATGTTTGTACAAATGTGCGGGTACAATAAAAACATTTATAAATGCACAAAATCCCTCTGTGTGGTCTCCAGAGTTACAAAATAAGAATGTTGAGTCATTTCTTCCATTGTTCTGGTTTTGGATAGAAGTGACCTGTAACTAAAATGTTTATGATTACCCAGTTTTAGACCCCAAGGAAGGTTCATCCACTACACTGAAAGGCAGTTACTGGGCAGTCTGCCCCTGTCATGAACTTTTAATAAGGTTAAACATATAAATTTCCTTTTATGGTTTAACTCCTCTGCTACTTTGGCCTAACCTCTGTGAAAAGAGTTGAACCACAGTTCCACTTTTCAAATCGTGAAAATTATCAAAATATTTCCATTCTTTTATCAAGATAAGTATGTCAAACTCTTTCAACCTTTAAACAATTGTTTTATAACCACGCCTTATTGTGAAGTCCCTAACAATAATTTCAACAGTAATATGAAACTAAGTGCTGGATTCTGGTTTATTTTGATGCTTACATGTAGCGAGGAGAAAAATGGCAAGAATGGGGCTGGCTGCAATTGCATACAACTCACACGTATCTTGCTTTATTAAACCTGGAAATGTTGGTTTAGTGGTTATGTGCAGGCACTGACTTGCTGTGGCATGGTCCTCTAACAGGATTTGTATTTTTGGATGGAAGTTGCTTGCTTTAAATTATTCCCATGTGTCCTGATCAAACCACTGATCAGAAAGATAACATTATTTTTCAGAGATTTAAAACACACAGGTGTCCATTTGAGAAAGGCATTATTACTATTATTATTATTAATAATAATAATAATCTTATTATTATTCCCTGCCTCTGCCAGTTTCCCTGAAATGGACTCAAGGCAGCTTACAGATAAAAATAACAACAGCTAAAAACGTGGCCCAGGTTCATTAATCATTGCTAGAATTAAAACTATATATCTATACCTCTATCTATCTATCTAATTTATTTGGATTAACAGAAAATTGGATATGTTAAGAGTTTGATAAAATTAAGAACGAATAATTCAGGGGAGAAAGTCATTCATTTCTGTACTAACAAACATACTGGGAATTCTCCTTAAGCTAAAATATTCAGATTGAAGGAGAACCAAAGCAGGTAAAATTTCTGCCACACTATCTAAAATGTTACAAAACAGAACATAATGGAAAGCAGACACTACACTTTATTCTGTTTTATAAAATTTGATTCTGCCTCTCCATTGGCTTCAGACATCCATCAGAATAATACCATCACATGTAGTAATGAAAAGCACCAGAATCTTATATGTGATGCTACTCCTCTATACAGTTAGTACAAAACTGTGCTAAGTTTTGTTGCGCCATATTCCAAGGAGATGCACAGGACAGGGAATAAGATGTCTCCATTTTAAAATCCCTAAAGCCTAGGGCTGGCAATAACTTTTATTCCAACTGCTTTTGCAATCTGATACATCTGTTACACTCAGAACACTATAAATTTGTCACATGTCATTTAGCTTTGTGAGAGAATGTGTCACTAGAACTGGCACGTCATAGCTTTACAAGTTGTTGCATTCTCAAATTGATTTTGTTGTTTATGAATTACATAAATAAAAGCAATCTCTCTCCCTCGGCATATTAAGTGTTTGATAAAAGATACCCATGCAAACATAACCTCAACAGCTAGAAAATATTAATACAGGTAGAATAATAGAGTCTTTGTTCTTATTCTTACAGACATGCAAATGTTTTTGTTGAAATTATACAATTCAACCTGAAATGTACACGGTATGTGTAGTTTTTCATCCACAGTAACTAAAATGTTATAAGAGTGAACATCAATAGAAGCAGATCACACAATTGCTTATTATTTATTAAAATTATACCCCATTCTTCCTTCCAAAGAACCCTAGGGTATTAAACAACAGGAAATAACGCAATAGAACAAAAAAAAAATAAAAACAATTTGGATACAGATGCAGACTGGGAAAGATCTCTTGCTAAATGACTTGTTGGAAAAGCAAGATTTTCAGTAGATGCTGACAAGGCAACAGAGAGTGCACCTGTCTAATATTCAGGGGAGGGGATTCTAAAGGGTTGGTACACAAAACTAAAGGCCCAATAAAGAATGGACCTTCTGGTAAGATGGCATCTGCAGAAAGCCCTCACCTGCAGAGTGCAGTGATTTGTTGGATAGATAACAGATGAGAAAATATCTCAGGTATCCTGGTCCAAACCCAGCACCTTGAACTTAGTCAGCCAGCTAAATGGTGACCACTGAGATCACCAGGGCTTCTAGTGTCAAAGACAGATCCAAGAGCATCTCCAGACTAAGGGAGCATGATCCCATCCTAAGCAGGCAATTGACCAATTATACAGGCTTAGGAACCACCTGCCCACAATGTTTCTGAGCACAATGCCCTTAATAGCTTTGACCCTGTATACCTGAAGGAGTGTTTCAGCCCCTATTGTTCAGCCCAGACACTGAAGTCCAGCTCCAAGGGCCTTCTAGTGGTGCCTTCATTGCGAGAAGTTACAGGGAACCAGATGAAGGGCCTTCTCAGTAGTGATGCCTGTGCTGTGGAATGCCATCCCATCAGATGTTAAAGAGATAAATAATTATATGATCTGTAGACATCTGAAGGCAGCCCAGTATTGGAAAGCTTTTAATGTGTGACGTTCTGCTGTGTTTTTGTATATTCTCTTGGAAGCCACCCAAAGCATCTGAGGCAACCCAGTCAGATGGGAAGAGTACAATAACAATGATAATTGCTGTTGTTGCTGATATCACCATCATCTCCACCTTACCAGGATTCAAAGTCAGTTCCTTGGCCTTCATCCAGCCCACCACCAAGTCCAGGCAGTTGGTAGCTATCATAAACTAACGAGCCTGAGATGTATATTTCTAGGAGTGATTGGATCACTGCCTCTTTCAGAACAGCTGGGACTACTCCCTCCCACAAGTGAATCCATGAATGTGGATATGGCATCAAGACTACTACAGAGGTGAGCAACAAGTTGATCACATAGCTTAGTTGTAAATTCCAATCAGATCTACTCATACATAGCTGATGGCTGTATTTCACCCACTTCAGTTCACTTTGAGATTATACGTCAGTTGAAAACTTATGCTAGAATGTCCAAAACAGTGATCTTCAAGATCCTGACAAACCTGAATTTATTTTTAATTATCTAGAGGGTTATAGTAAGTAGTATGTTCAGGAATGAATACTGCATGAAACTCAAAGCATTTAAATTCAATTTTTGGTAGTTTCAGAACACCTATCACAGGAAGCATCTATTACTATTAATTAAATTATGTTGTTGTTATGAAAATACAGTGGAAACGCGATGATTTAATCAGAGGAGCACAGTTAGTGTTAAAAATTTAAACATCATTGCAAATTAATGAGACATAAGAAAGCTTTTAACCTCAGGGTTGCAAAAGTGTGGGGGCACTACAGGAGCAGATAAAATCTATCTATGCAGAGTAGGAAATGAAGTGAAAATTAGACACTTGTAAAAGGGAAGAACATAAGCCAGACATTCTTTTTATCAAATTTTTATAGGCTGCCTTCTACCCACCAAAACAGGGGGCCTTCAAGGCAGTGTACAACAAAAATATGTCATAATGCAAATAAATAAATAATGGTCCAATGTTTGACTCAGTATACAGCAGCTTCCTATGATCCTATGAATAAATCACCAAAAGCAATGAACAGTAGCTGTAAGGTATGAAAGCAGTACATGAGCAGGAACAAAGGTAGTAATTCCACTTACCTTCAGTGGTATGTGGTTTCGTGGCATGGTGACATCCCACCAGTGGGATTCCCTAGATGATGGGAGCTACTAACAACCTGTCCCACCAGCTTGGGAACTTTTGAATTTGGTCCACTGCAGATTGGCCAATAGCAGCTGGACCAAGAGGCAAGCACAATTGGGATGTGCACTGGGCCCATAACTCAGAGGTTGATCAATTGGAACCATCCTCTGCTACCAAGGCAGTGGCATGACATCCTTGACCCAGCTCATATCAACTGGGCAAGAAAGAAAGTGAATCAGACTATGAGGCAGAAGGTGGAGCAGTTAGGTGGCTGGGAGATTCAGCACCCTGAAATCACGTTTGACAAAGAGACCCTCTGGGTGACATCCAGTTCTCAGCATCAGGGAATGATGTCTGATTGAAAGATATTGTGGTTGGGCTAAAGTGTTGGCTGCAGATGTGAGTGATTTGGCAGTGAGCAGGTATTTGGGTTGGCTTGGATAGCTGATAAGGCATTGGGTAAAAGCTTTAGTCAGGGTCAGATGGGAGGTTGTAAGCCTTTGTCTGCCCTTCCAAGGGAATGGGGTATCCCATTAAAGGGATCCTGGAGGAGGTGCTTCTGCCCCCAGTTGGGGGCACTCAAGACAAATATATTTGATACATGTCATAAGATTCCCTCACCATTGGTTCAACCCATTGGTCAATTAACCAGCATATGCCTAATCCAAAAAACACATTTGTAATCAATAAAGTTGATGCCTAATTTGAGCCACAAAAAAGTATGCTGTCACAAGTGGTCATTCATTTCCATACACGGTATGGGATAGCAGGTCACAGCGCCTGGGCATGCAGCTAATCATGCCTATCAGTCAACAAATATAAATATGACATATTTGTGAATATTGTGAATATCTTAATTTCTGAATGTTGTGAATATTTTAAAGTCATGCTGCCCTCAGTTCCTTCCAGAGGAAGGGCAGGATATAAATTGAATAATAAAAATAGTAATAGTAATAATTCAAAATGGAGCATAAAATGATGTCTGTCGTTACTCTGTATGTAGCTAGAACTTTATTGCTGATTACAGTTGCAGCACTGCTCAATGTGAAGCTTTCTTTAGCCATGCCCAGATTCAGCAGTTTCATTTAGAAGGGGAAAGTGATGGCAATCTACGCAAATCATTCTTTGCAATCAGCAAGGCATCATCTACCACATCCAACCATATCACAAAGCCCTCCAGGTTTTCCTCTTTACAACACATCTCTCATCTTCATGTTGGATACATGTAACTGGCTGGACTCTATTCTACTTTACAGTCCAGCACACCAATCCTACACTTCAGCAGCAGGCTTATTTCCAAGAAAGTGCATCAAGGGCTGCAGACTATGGAGGCTGCTACACTGGCACCTTTCCCCAATCTGAAAACACACATCAGTCTTAAACATACTGTTATGTACTGAGTTGAATAGGATCCAAAAGGCAGCAGTCTGACTGGTCCTAGAACAATAGGATTCAGAATGCAGCAGTCTGATTAGTCCTAGAACAATAGGGTCCAGAATGCAGCAGTCTGATTGGTCCTAGAACAATGCAGCAGTATGATTGGTCCACAGGAGCCACCCAATCCAGCTCCAGGTGGAAGTGAATCCGCAACCTGATTGGCCTACAGGAGAATCCCAGAATTAGCCAATCACGTGCGGCCCATTGTGTAAATAATGTATATAAAGCAGATATTTTGGGAAAACTGTCATTCCTCACTACTATGAGCTGAATAAAGAGCATGAAATCCACACTCGACTCCAAGTATATTTCACACACAGAAATAACCAACCTTTGTTTCAAATGTGGTCATTAACTAAAGAGTTCACAGTTCAGGGGTGGTTGTGAGTGTGGGGGATGCTGCCATCAACATATTTTTTGCCATCACCAACACAGCAGTATATAAATCCTACTTAAGTTAGTGGGATGAATATGTGGGTAATTGTGCACAGGACTGCAGCAATAGCAGTTAAAGCATATTAATATCTAAATTCATCACCATAATCATGTGTTTAGCTTAATGTCTTCTTAAGTTCAAACTAGAAAAATATAATTGTGAGGTAAAAAATTCTGCCTATCTTCTACTAGGCCGATATTTTTGTTCTCTATATTTGCATTTACTAAACTGCATCCTACAACTTCCATTTTTTCCCTCACTTATCAGACGTTTCTTCTTTTCAGATCTTGCCAAAGGTAACCTTCGCAAACCCTGAGCTTTCAGGAAGGGAAGAACACACACCAGCTCACAGTTTGTGATTGCTTTACAGTGTTACCTTATGCTGTATATTACCTTGTCAATTTAAACAGCCACAAAACGTTAGCATTTTATAAGGAATGACCTTTCATGCTGTGAAATGCAATTAGCAATGCACTCTGGGGTAACACTGTCCTCTGCAAACAGGTGGTGAACTAGCAGCTGCAACTTTGATACTATAATGAAAGAGAAGGACAACTTGAAGCAATGCTGCATTGTGTTGACATTTCCATTCTCAAGATTTTAAAAGAAATTTGAAAATATATATTTGTTGCGCTCAGAACCAATTAATACTGTATGGATTTTGCTGTACTACAGGACCTAACCTACTGTTCACACTTATAAGCTATCATCTACCAAGGATGCATTACTGCAAAATTATTATTTCCATTAAGGTTATACAGGAAGTGGAAGAGTGATTATGCCAAAGACTTTATCACGTTGCACAGTTAGGAAAACATAGGAGCATAAAGAAATTAAGTCCCTGACAAAAGTGATTCTCTCTCTCTCTCTTGGCTTGTTCACAACAAAGCAAAGTGTGAATTCTCACCAGCCTATTTCCCCATTAATGTAGGGGCATATGCATGATGTCCTCCCTATCCCAGTCCTGGACCTTTCCTCCTTTAAATGTGGAGTTTTAAATCATTGGAAAGTCTGAAGTGAGCAGAATATATAAATAAAAACATTTAAAGGGGGAAAGGTCTGGGACTATTCAGGGATGGGGTCTACTTTACTCTGGTGTGGACAAGCCCTTTGTCACCTTTTCTCCAATCTCTTTCATGTGTGGCCTATAACATTTTGTTCAGCCAAGGTAAACATGAAGCCACACAAAGTCTGAAGCTAAGCAAGTTTGGTTCTAGTCATACAAACACAAGCACACACACACACCATACACCCACGCACCCTACTGTTAACACCCTCCTGTCCTAAATTTGAATATATCAGCCCCAATAAAAGAATCACTCCCTAGTTCATGTCCTATTAGTCCAATTGGAATATTATTCCAATAACATTGTCCCTTTGTGACTTCCTCTTAGGGCACTTTCACACATGAAGTTTAAATTGCCATTTAATCTTCCTTCTCTTATTTATGTGAATGTCTAATCATGGTTAATGCAGAACAGGTATTTGTAATGGAAATGAGCATTCTGGCTAGTATTGATTTTACATTGGTGTTATAAACCCAATGAAGCAAAAAGTGCTTTGCGCTTTGTGTGTGAAAACATCATTATTCTCTTTCACTCTATACACTTTCTCTCAGCGATTCTATTCAGGCCCTCAGCTTTAACTTTTCACCGTTACAAACATTACTCTTTATCCACCTTACACCTTCTCACTTTTTGTTTAGTCTTCTACTGTTGCTTTATTCTGCTATGTGTGTAAACTTATTTAACATATTTATTACCTGTTCTTCATTGTTACATACTTTCACAGAGTAAAGAACAACAACAGCAAGAACAGCAACAACGTAAACAGAACACCTACCCCTCCCCATACAAAATGTATTATTCACAATCTCAAGAACCAGTAAAACAGTGGATCATAACAATCATCATTATCTCTGATATAACACCTGGATAACTATTTCCTTGTTTTCCCATTTAATATAATAAAATAACAAAATGAGCATTCCGTTTAAGTTAATTCAAAGTAGAATCAACAACTGATTCTATGCTACTTCCCAGCAGATTAACCCTCACTGAGGGTCAAGAGGCTTGGACACAAGCCTAGACACCAAACATAGTATTCTGTGGGTCTGAAAAGGCAAGGCTTTATCTGACCATGAAGCCTTGGTGCTGGAGATGGTCGATGTGGTTGTAAGCAAACGAAGGTTACATAAAGGTGGGAGAATCCATCCTAACTTTTTTTTAAAAATCCACAGAGGTGTGTTCATGGGTCCCTTAGATCAAACAACATGCCTACTGTTTTTTCACTTTTTTAAAGACAGTCCTCAGGCCACATCTTAGAATTCAGAGGTCTGCAGATTCCAGAGCATGACCCTGTTCCAATCTGCAACTTGATTCGAGAGCTGGTCGGATGAGTTTTCTCAGGAATGTGGACCCCCTGAATTCCTGAAGCATCCACCTAATGAAAGCTTGTACCACAGTACATTTGCTGCTCTTTAAATTGCTACAGGATTCTTAGCTGTCTAGCTGCAAAATGAACAATTTCACCTGCATTTATTTTAAATACAAACAAAGTGAAACTGTTTTTTTAAAAAAGCAGCTTATTCTGTGGAATAGATGGGAAGATAACTGATTTGTTAATCAAACAAATCTAGATACTCTTCTAGACACCACACTAGTGTTTCTGTCCATAGTCCACAATGCTCACAATTACCATAAATTCTGATGCACTGGCACCACAGTTATAACCTATCCTCAACATTTATTTCCTACTACAGATAGCGTTAGAATTAGGTCATAAAATACGAAAGTCAATGCCAAGGCTTCACTTGACTTTAATGGGGACTAGATTAATATATTCATTCGCCTAGCACCAAACAAGAGATAAATTTCTACATGCTAATTATTAACACATGCAAAGTAATGGTAGATCTTCAGGACATCCAACTACCCATGGCAGCACATAAATTCTAGAGCTCAGGTACATTTACTGAATGAGGGGGGAAAGACTGCATAGCTCAAGTGTATTTTTATTGCAAATCTGAGTATTTTCAGAAGATAAATCATACCGTGATGGTTGCAATCTGTTTCACAAGTGAGCTGTTAAACATAAGAACTGATGACTGCAAGGTTGAATTTGCTTGGAACAATAATTATTTATGACACTTTATTACAGCATAACTCATAAACATATGGTTACCTTATTAGAAATTAAAATTCATTTTCATATAACTCTCAGCATGATATTACACCAGCATAACTGAAGCAACTCCAGGGGACAACAAATAATTCCAGTTCAACTGTTCCAGGGCTTGACAGTTGCAATATGCAATTTCAACTAATTCTCTTGTAAATACATAGGCAGGTTTTGATAACACAAATCCATCCACAGGCAAGTACAGGCATAAATGTTATTATTTTCCTACCAGCTTTGGAGACTGCATAATTTATTTCTTTGACACAAAGTACCATTAATTTGTTTGACATTTGCTGCTTAAAAAAAAAAGTGCTTTTTTCTTTTTTGGCCTTATAGCTAACATAGTTTCTCCACTTCCAGTTGTGTAATTGTGCCTTGTAAAAAAAAAAACAGCAGCAACAACCTCCTGACAGCATATACAAATTAATTAATTAAATGAATAAAATAAACAGTCAGATAAACTTGGTATAGTCTGGATTATGCTTCCTCCCTGCCAAAATTGTGGGGAGGGAAAATACATGGAAGGGCCAAAAGTTCCTTCATAGACTCACCAGTTAGTTCCTTCCTATCAAGTTCTCAGACCACATCAACTCCTAAATCCAATCTGGTAACACCTGCTTTCAAAATCACAGCAAAAATTCAACACTAGGCCTTCCCATCACCTCTAAAACCTTTTGATTGTTGTGTTACTCACTCTTGCTTCCTCCCCCAGCTTCTTTTATCATGCAGGGCAAGAGAACAACAGGGAGGCAACATTAGGAAGCCAAAAATCCCTTCCATCCTCTGCTGATGTAAGCTTACCGATAAGTGTTAAGTCATGCCCACTCAGACACATCCTGACAGCATCCTAAAGATCGTAATCTAAGGACTAATAACAAACAGGCTGTGCATTCCACTTGGCTGTAACTATGCTTTCCCCGGCTTCCCACTCAGGGGGCACATCTAAAAAGCAAACTTCCTCCCACTCAGGGTCTCACCCTAGATCACTCCTTTGGGCCTCTTCTCTTCTAGGACCCAGCCAGAAACACAATTTAGGAACAGTTTTACCATTATTATCCACATGTCCCGTGCTCTGTATGTGATAAGTGCTTGTATGTGATATACTTGGCATATACATTCTGTTTGCTCCATTATATACCTAGCAATCTCTTTTTGAGAATCTTTTCTTTTTATGTGCTTTTGGGTAGGATTTTATGTCAATGTTCAAAAGATTGATTTTAATGCTAGATGCAAAGAAGATTCAAACAAATAGGTTTTTTGTACTGTTTGGTAATGACAGAATTTTGAATGTACTTTCATAAAACACATTTCGTGGTAGGTGAGAACTCTTGGAGGAGGTTTAGTATGTAATAAAGTGTGAATTAGATACAGAAAATTCCAATTTATTTTTTGAAGTGCTTTTTGGGAGTGAGACGGACAAGCAGAAGGATGGTCATTAAAATAAAAATAGATGGGGAAAACCCAGCCAAAAGTCCATACATCACCACTACAAATACTGTATGTACAAATATATTATACATCACCAAAACAAATATGGCTATGTGATGCGATAGAACATTTACTTTTACCTCTAGAACCATAAAATGATATTGTACTGGTAACAATGAAAGCACTGTGCCAAAAATGGAAGGGGAAGTAGACTGTGGAAGCAAAATTAATTAATTGAATTAATTAATTAATTAATTAATTAATTAATAAGAGACTACCTATTTCACTATAGCTCCTTCCCTTTACGGTCTTCTCATTCAGCACCCTTTATCTGAAGACATATTTGACTAAATGCACAAATCACAACACACGGTTATCAACTAAGTTGATCAAAGACTTTAAACATTGCTCTATTTTTTAATTGAGTGGTAACACAAGCCATTTTGGGTACAAGTGATGGTTAAAACATTCCCACTTGAAATGTAATTACTGAGGTTCTCTTTAAACTAAAATGTAAATAGGCATTTTAATAGTATTCTAAACTGTATTTGATTTACTTCCCATTGATTGCATTATTGCCTTAGTAATTAGACATCACAGTATCCTTTCTGTGCTGATTTTCTTCCACCCTAGGTGTTACTATCTGTTTTAAGCTATAAAATGTGCTGGCATAGCATTTGGGAGAAAGTGGGTGGTATTCAACGTCATACATTTTCAGTTGTTCTGTTGGCACAAGCATTTCAGCTCCTCTCCTCCTGTGCACTGTTCTGGGGTTCTCCTAACCCTCCCCCTCCACGATACAATTTTGGGGGGTACAAGTAGGAGGAAAGGAGGAAAAAAAACCTTATGCAAGCAGAAGTCCTTTTGCTGGACTTCTGCTGATGGGGCTAGTTAGGTGAATCCTGCCCAGAGAGTCTAAAACTCTATTTTTTGATTGATACATAGTCACATTTGCCTG